AGTTTTGTTAGCTGTAGAAATATTACCAAATGTTTAATTCAAAATGAAAATATGCCAAAAATATGACAAAATTGAAAAAATATGAGAAAATGTTAGAAAATCAATATTTTCATCTTTAGAGAGATATTTTTATGCGATTTTTTAGACGTTGTTTCTTTCCTGCCAAGAGGCCATTCTGAATTAATGAGAACTGTCGAAATCAGTTCAGCCGTTCTCGACATATAAGAGATCTTTCAAGCATATCTTCTTTGATAGACATATATATCGCACATATTTTGCTATATATCCGTTTCGTTGGATGTTAACATCAATGTAAAGATCAGAAGTAACCTTGTCAAGGCTTTCTGATTTTGCCGGGATTTAAAAAATTCACGGTTTAATGAAAAATTTTGAATTTTTTCAACACAAAAGATATGGTCTATTTTACCCGCTAAGTATTATCCGATGACCACCCAAATTGGTAGGCTTCTTCCCCGCCCTAAACTCTAGCTACATGCGCAATTCCGCGTCGATTGGTCTATAATTGCGACCTGTATAGCTACTGCAAAATCCGACATTTTTTCAGTATTTGGTCCATTTCAACCCCTAAACATTTGGCGATCATCTCTAAAAGAAATAGGCTTCTGTTCTGACCCTAACCCCATCTTCGTGCAAAATTTCGTAAGGATCGGGCCATAATTGCGACCTGTAGCGTGATTACAAATTAACATGGACAGACGGACAGACGGACAGACGGACGGACGGACATACATAGCTAGATCGACTCAGCTCGGCGAGCTAGGAAGATCCATATATACTTTCCTATATGGGAAACCAATATTTCGAGGTGTTACATAAATTCTGGCCCAATCAAACTTATAATACCCCCAACACATAGTGTTGTAGGGTATAAAAACCGTAAAAATACCACTCAAATGAAACCCTCTATATGGAGGCTATACGAAGTTATTTTTGTCATGGGCTTTAAAACCCATTACAAACTTCATTACGAGATTTGAAACAATTCCGGGGGATAATACCGTTAAAATCATCAAAGTATCGAATATCGGGAGGTATCGTTATGCGGGGGCTATAGGAAGGCGTGGAGCTGCATTCGCGATTTTTTGTTATAGGTTGTAGTACCCATTACGAACTGTAAATTCAAAAATTGAAACAATTCTGGTAAAAAATGTCGCTAGAATCATCAAAATACCGAATATTGGGAGGTACTATACGTAGACGTGGACACTTTTTATACGCTTCACCATAGTATGGAGGGTATATTAAATTTGTCAATCCCTTTGTAACACCTCAAAATATACATTTTATACCTCACAAGATTATATATTCTTGATCAGAAGAATTTCATGCTCGATTTAGCGATGTCCGCCCGTCTGTCCGTCTGTGGAAATCTCTCTAGCTTCCGAACGAAATGAAGTAGGTTGATAAAATTTTACCCAAATATATATTATGTCTGCAGGACTTTTGGTAGTGAAAATGGTCCATGTAGGTCAACGTTTTGGTATAGCACCCATATAATGGTACCTCCCTATTTTCGGTATTTTGGTGATGTAAGCAACATTATTCACCGGAAATGTTTCAAATTTGGTATTTGAAGTTCGTAATGGATACTACAGCACATGACAAAAAATTGTCTGTGCAGGTCCACGTCATCGTATAGCCCTCTTATATCGGTACCTCCCGATTTTCGGTATTTTCATGATTTCAGCTACATTATTCATCGGAATTGTTTCATTGTTTGTTTTATTTGAGGTTCGTAATGGATACTACAGCCTAAGGCAGAAAATTGTCTATGCAGGTCCACGTCTTTGTGTAGCCACCATATGACGGTACCTATCGATATTCGGTATTTTGATGATTTTAGCGACATTTTTCACCGGAATTGTTTCTACAGCCTAGGACAGAAAATTGTCTGTGCAAGTCCACGTCTTCGTATAGTCCCCATATAATGGAAACTTCCTGATATCCTGGGCTTGAAAACAGACCTTCATCAGATATACTTTGTGGGTGTCTCTAAATTTTTCGTTTTTTTGCCTTTGTTTTCTACCATAAAGATTCGCTGCAATTAGAAATCCGGTAAGTTGCATTCAAGATAACCTAGCCTCAGTTCTAATGGGGTCAAATGTAGAAAAAATATATATTATCAGAGTACATTAAAAAAAAAACAAACCAAAAGAACAAACTCTGCCATTAAACTTAGTTATTCAACGTTCATCCACAGCATTGGTTTAGTTCTTCTCCGGGCTAGAAAAAATTTCCAGCAATATGTCGCCCAGGACTTCTTGGATATTTTCCATAGGTGTTTTCTATTCGTGCATATTCACCTATTTGGGTCTATATCATTTCATCCATTTGCTACATATCTACGATAAATTTGAAAAGTCTGACGAAGATTCGGTTACCAAGGATTTTGTGACTTTTGTAAAATGTAAGTAAAGGCATTCACATGAAAGGAAGTTTTTGAATTGTTTCTGGCTTTTTATAGCTGGAGAGACATCGTATCATGCAATGTCTTTGATTGGTACAGTTGGTAGGTGTGAGCAAGGTAGGTACCTACGAGATATGTTCAGACGTCAAGGCCCTAAAAACAAATATCTTTTCTTTTTCTATAGGACAAACATAGCTTCTTTGTCCCCTGGCTTATTTGTTCCTGGCTGAATGTAATCTACGATATTTTGACCACATACTCTATGACATACTTCGAAGAGAGATCGGAACTGTATGTTTTGACTACAGGTGAGAATTATGTTATTGGAATCATGTTAATGTTTCCGTATCCCTTTTCAACGAGAAATTTTATATTTTTTTTAGTTTTCGTTGTTGCCTTGTGGTATCCGGTGTATTACCAATACAAGAGTCTGCGAATGTTTAAACATAAACCAGTTGTCATTGCAAGTTCCCTGGAAAAGGTTGGCAACTCAATGCACTCAAAAAATCGATCTGTTATTGAGCCCGTTTAAAAGAGCTTTGAAAAAAATATTGAATAATGTCGAAATGGACAAAATAAATTTTGAATGAAAAAATGCGTGGATTATTTTTTTAAATGGAGGATTTCCTTACATATTTTCTGATTCATTGATCTACTCAAGGAAGATCCCTCGATATTTCAAGGTAGGTCGGCCGATCTATAAATAAATAGGAATATCTGTCGATATTATGAATAAATACATAGAAATGTTCTCGTTAGAGATCTACGTCATTTCTCAGATAGATGATCTGTAGACATTCTCAAAGAAGATCTTCTCACATAACATCTGCAGATCTTCTCGATGAAAAATTTTCGATCTTTTCGGCCAAGTTTTTTTTATTTTCTTCTGGAAGATAGAGATGCCTTCTCATAAAAGCTAGCGACATCTTCTCATGAAAGATTTTTAGATTTTGTCGTAGAAGTTATTTAGATTTATCTCATAGATGATCGGGAGCTCGTTCATAACGTCTTCCTGGGCACCACGTCTTCCTGGGCACCACGTCGTATACACCTAATCCTGGCCTTTAGCAAGTCTATACCGACTCCCTGGCTTTCAGCTCGCCCGTACAGATAGCTCGTTTGTACCTAGCCTTCTAGAAATGTTCTCATGAAAGATCTAGATTATTCCGCAGGTAGATGATCTGTAGAGATTCTCAAAGGAGTTCTTCCCACATAACATTTGGAGATCTTTTCGAAGACACAGTTTAGATCTTCTCGTCAAGATCATTAGTTTTTCTTCCAGAAGATACAAATGTCTTCTCATAGAAGCTAGGGACATCTTCTCATGGAAGATTTTGAGATTTGGTCGTAGAAGTTACTCAGAAGTATCTCATAGATTTTCGGGAGCTCGTTCATAACGTCTTCCTGACCGCCTCGTCGTCTACCTGGCCTTTAGCAAGTACAGATTGTCTTTACCTTAGCTTGTTTTTACCGAGCCTTTAGCTTGTTCGTACAGAATGCCAGGCTTTAATCTCATCTAAACCGACTCTCTGACCAGGAACTCGTCTATACCGACTCTCAAGTCTGCAGCTCGTATATACCTACTATCTGGCCTGTAGCTCGTTCATACCGTCTTCCTGAGCCTAATCCTTTGCCTTTAGTTATTCTACACAGACTGCCTGGCCTTTATCTCGTCTATACTAATACTCTCTTGCCTGCAGTTCGTTTATACCGACTCTCTGACTAAAATTTCGCACACATGTTTATTTTGCCAGTAGGTTAGGTTAAGTTCGTAAATGGGTCATTTAGGTTCACGTCTTCGTATAGCCCCCGTATAACGGTACCTCCCGATTTTTGGTATTTTGATGATTTTAGCGACATTATTCACCGGAATTGGTTTCAAATTTGCCATTTGAAGTTCATAATGGATACTACAGCCTGTGACAGAAAATTGTCTATGCAGGTCCAGGTCTTCGTATCGCTCCGATATAACGGTACCTTTTGAAGATGCTACATAATATCCATTTATAATATGGTAATGGCTTATAACAAACAATGCCTATGTAGGTCCACGACGTATAGACCCCAATATAACGGCTATATTCGGTGTTGTTAAGATTTTAATAGAATTTCTAATGGATTTTATTTTTTGAAAATTTCAAAATTAGTTCGAAATGTTGGAGGGTATTCAAAGTTCGGCCGGCCGAACTCACTGCATTTTAACTTGTTTTCCTATAACTTTATAATGTTTATTCGACACACTCAAATGTTTTTAATCTCTCGCAACCTTGACCTAATGCAATAACGAAAACGTTTCATTGATCTTCCATACGAGAGTAATCAGCCTTGGCATTGCTATTTTGAATACATCTTTCCATGACTGGACAGAGATTATCTCACAAACTATATTTTGGTGAATACCTATCCTATGTGTTAAAAAATTTGGACACTTCAATGCATTTCAATGGTAACCACTTTCCGGGACCCTGTAATTCCGCAGAGAAAGCTTTGTACATTTGTCCCCCCTCTGGAACTCAACTGATAAATAGAATCGCAACGGATTTTCACAAACAATCTCAGCATTCAGAAAGAGAATCAATTTATAAATCGATCTTCAGTTTTATTCGAAACCGCTGATAAGAATGTTCGCTTTTCATTGGAATAGAAAGAAGCGTGTTACGTTTTTTCTGTGAATAAGATTTAATTTCGCCATATTATAAAAATAATACAAATAAAAACAAAAGAAAACCACACAAACAAACATGCCACCAAAATTGTCCATGAGAGTTGCCAATAAATCGCCCTGGTTTTGTGTGGCCTGTGTCATGGCCATTTTGGCCATTATTATTTATGCCTGTCTCACCGCGTACAATGTCACAGGCCTGTTGATCTATTATCAAATAATTGAAGAACAAACCAAAGATACGGATCCAGATGTTTGGACAAATGAGCTGAGAGCTCTACTTAAACACATTAGCGGTATGTAGAAAAGATCATTCGAAATCCATTGTTTTTTTGTTCGAGATAAGGAATTGATTTGAGTACACATACACTCGTATAGAATTTATAGAGAACATCATACCAAAATATTGGGATTGTTTGAAATTGTCTTAGGACCATGGAGGGGGTTTACTTTAAGGGCTTGAGGGATAGCAGAATACGAACGAAAAGGTGTTGAAAAGCTAGGGAGTCGGTATGGACAAGGTAATGGTCAGGGGTCGGAATAGACGATGTGATGGCCAGGGAGTCGGAGTAGACGAGCTGAAGGCCAGGGAGATGATATAGACGAGTTTCTGGTCAGGGAGTCGGAGTAGACGTGCTGAAAGCCGGGGAGTCGGAATAGATGAGCTGCAGGCAAGGGAGTCGGAGTAGACGAGTTGCTGGCCAGGGATTTTGAGTAGACGAACTGATGGCCAGGAAGTCGATATAGACGAGCTGAAGGCCAGGGAATCGGTATAGATGAGTTGAAGGCCAGGGAGATGGTATAGACGAGTTGCTGGCCAGGGAGTCGGAACAGACGAGCTGAAGGCCAGGGAGTCGGAATAGACGTGTTTCAGGCCAGGGAGTCGGAATAGACGTGTTTCAGGCCAGAGAGTCGGAGTAGACGAGCTGATGGCCAGGGAGATGGTATAGACGAGTTGCTGGCCAGGGAGTCGGAGTAGACGTGCTGAAAGCCAGAGAGTCGGAAAAGACGAGCTGAAGGTCAGGGAGTCGGTATAGACGAGGTGATAGTCAGGAAGTCGGAACAGACGAGCTGAAGGCCAGGGAGTCGGTATAGACGATGTGATAGTCAGGAAGCCGGTATAGACGAGCTGCAGGGTAGAGAGTCGGTACAGACAAGTTGTAGATTAGGGGTAAACAAAGACAAGAGAGCTGCGCGTCGGGATTCCGTATGGTAGGGAGTATATCATCATTTTAATCTTCCACCTTTTCTACCTTATTCATTTTCCAGCAATTAATCTATATGCCAACATTGCCAGCCTTTTCGTTTACGTAGTCATGTTAATTCTATCGGTGCTAATGATAGTTGGTTTGGAAATGGTAAGTTCTATGCAAAAAGATATTCCCAAAAACTCAATTTAACACAATACTGAAATAACGAACTCTCTTCATAGAAACGTCATCAATTCATTTCACCATGGCTAGTGGCGGGCTGCATTATGGTTGGTTGCGGCTTCTGCCTGAACATCGTTACATCCCAGAGAGATAGCCTCTTGGATTACATTGTGATGGGTAACTTGTTTTGGTGTGAATTATTGTTATTTGAATACATGTATCTTTTATCAAGGCCTCCAAATATTTACGTGGTTTCCCGTCTATACCTATTACAAAAAGCTTCGCCCGACACGTTACTGGAAACAATACGGATTTATTAACGTCTATCGCGTCTGGGATCAACCGGAGAAATTTCATCAATGGCGTGGACAGTTTCCAATTTTTTTGCCAAACAAAAGTTGCACATCTGAGGGAGAAATAAAAGCTTAAATAAAATTGTGATTTTTATTTGTAAATTATAAAAAAAATTAATGAATTAAATAAATTTTTCTGAATGAATGGCATCCCTAAATTATGAGTAGTAATGTCACTTCGGCAAATTTTGTATGTGTTCTCAGGTGTGGGGAAAAATGCTCACTTTTTCGAATTGGTTTTTCTATCTAAAGGAACGCCTCATATGTTCCTTCCGATACAAAAAAGGCATTGGTTACTAATTTTTTCTATAGAAAATAAGACTCATTTCTTCTCAAAATTTAAATTGAAAATATTATTGTATTACTACTCGCCTGTGCTCCGGCTCTCTTTCCATTGATAATAATATTATTAATTTTTTTTCAAAACAATTCAGTTTAATTCATAAGAAAAACTAATCTTTAGTTTGTTTTGAGACGATTGTTTAGATTGATCGCCGTAACGCTATACGTTCGAACGTTTAAACGAATTTTTGTGTTTAAGGCTTATCATGTTATCATCGTTTCGAATTGTCTTCTCGATTGCCATCTATACGACGGTAATGTACACGCTGCTGCTGATCCATAATGTGGTTCTTATCAAAAACTATCATGAGAATATAAAAAATGCGAAAGAAATGGATTATACGTCATATGAAGATGATAGCGATTATGATGGTAGTAGACTGAGGATGGATGAATTTGAAGGTATGTAGGCTAACTGAGGCAAATTTAGGACCTTTGTCTTCTAAAGCATCAAATAATGAAGGAGTTTTAAAGACTTTTTTAAAAAGTTTCGCTAACAAGAGGCAAGGGTGATATCGATTTGTAATATGTATAAATTTGTATACAGGGTGAGATAAAAAACTGCAACCAATTTCAGACTGCTGTCATTTCTAAGCCACTCGTCCGACGGCTGTTAAAATTATTCCACTGACAGCTCATTATATTGTTTACAAACGTATAAAAGCATTTTGGTGACAATTTTCCAGAAAAAAAGTTATTCGTGATGGAATTCAAGCGTGATAGTGTGATTTCTTTATATTTGGCTGGAAAACCACAAATGGCTATCGTATGAGCAATCCATTATTTAAATGTGAATAAATTTTTAGTGTCTCGTACCATCGCTCGTTACCGTGATGCAGGTAGCGTAGCCCAACGTCAAGGAAGTGGACGGAAGAAAACAGCAACATCAGCAGAAATGATTCGAAAATTAAAAAAGCGACTTGATCGAAACCCGCGTCGCAGTGGCCGAAAATTGCTCGTGAGCTGAACGTAGCGCAATATTCCATTCGGCAAATATTGAAAAATGAGCTCGGTCATGAGTCATTGAAATTCCAAAAAATGCAAGGACTTATACCGCAACAGAAAGAAAATATACTAGAAAATAGAAGAGCTAAACAGTTGCTTCGCTTGGTCGAAAGTGAAAATGTGCACCTTCGGTTGGCCACCAGAACTCAAACGCCAGCCTTGGTGATGGTGGGGGCCACCATAACAGCCTATGATCGCCCTCCGCTGGTATTAATCGACCGTGACATTAGAATAAATGCCGAATATTATCGCGAAAATATTCTGGAGGGTGTATTAAAGCCTTGGGCACGCAAACTCTTTGGCCGCAGTCCTTGGACATTCCAACAGGACTCAGCACCATTTCACTCAGCACGCGTCACCAAAGAATGGCCACCAAAATCTCCGTATACCAATCCGTTGGACTATTGTATCTGGAATATTTTGAAAACAAGGTTGGCATTAAAAAATACCAAAGTGTTGATCACCTCCAGCAATCGCTTCGCCGGGAATGGGCCAAAATACCACAGAGCAACATCATTGGCTGTTTGAAGGCCATAATTCGTGCCAAAGGTGACCAATTTAAACAAATCTAAACTTATTCTAAAATTTGATGCTATTTCCAGCTGCAGTTTTTTTTATCTCATCCTGTATATTGTTACTAGATGTTGTTCCTTTATCTAAAAGCCCAGTAAGTGAGAGAATTTAAGAGTACAATTTTAACATTTGTGTTACTGACTGTTTACAAATTCTTATTGAGAAAATTTCGATTGTTTTGTAAACAAACAAATTTGAGTCTTGGATACAAAACGGATAAAGAATAACGAAGTACAATTTTAAACAAGTAAGCAAAGGCTATAGTCGTGCGGGGCCGACCATGTGATACCCTACAACACTACAATATGTTAGAAGCACCCTTATGTCCAAGTCCATTTTGGAAGATTTCGCTTTTGAAATTTTGTCATGGAGCACTGCCCAGATATTGCCCTTACCATTTTGACCAGGGACATTTGCGCACTCCGTCGTGCTGTTAGTTTTTGTGGTCCATTTTACAGCTAAATATAATCCAATGGTCATCCAAAAAGCTAGAATTCTTCCCTATCCCTAACTCTCTTCTCAGGCATGTTGATTGGCTTCAATTGTGTGATCAGTAATTTTTTCTGTTTTGGTTCATTTGAGCCCCTTAATATTTAGCGATCATCTCCAAAAGCAAGAAGCCGTTCTGCATCTACAAATTTAGACCCATCTATATGATTTGCTTGCCTACGATATTTAGCTATATTCATCAACGAAATCAGCATAAAAAAGCCAGAAGTTCGCCTTTTGTGTATTTCGGATATCGCCTGTAAGTAATGTTGGTATTTTTTTCACACAAAAGTTGTGGTCTATTCTACCCGTGTTGTAAGGTGAAAAAATTTTACAAAATGTACATTTCAATATTATAAGTCAAATTGAAAAAATAGCATGCGATAAAAAATATGAAAAAATAAAAACAATTCACTAAATGCTACAAAATCTATAATAACACCATTATTTGCTCATTTTTATGCGATTTTTTTAGATTTTATTCTCTTATGCCAAGAGGGCATTCTGAATTGACAAAATTTGTCAAAATCGGTCCAGCCATTCTTGAGATATAAGTATTTTAGCTAACATCCCCTTCTATTGTATATTTACATTGTATATATTTCCCGATATATATCAGATATATTTGCTATCGGCATCTACGTAACGGTCAGAATTGACCTCTTCATCTATTGTGATTTCGCCGGGATTAAAAATGTTCGCGGTTTAATGAAAAATTTGACTTTTATTTAACACAAATGCTATGGTCTGTTTCACCCACTAAATATTACCCGATGACCATCAAAATTCGAAGACTTCTGGTCAGCCCTAAGATCTAGCCCCATGCTAACTTCCGCGTCGATTGGTCTAAAACTGCGACCTGTAGAGCAACTGTAAAATCAGGAAATTTTTCAGTATTTGGTCCATTTTAACCCCTAAATATTATGCGATCATCTCCAAAACCAAATTTTCTGGGCCAGACCCCACCTCCATTCTAAATTTAGTGAAGATCGGGCCATAATTGCGACCTGACATACATAGCTAGATCGACTCAGCTCGGCGAGCTAGGAAGATCCATATATACTTTCCTATGTGGGAAACCAATATTTCGAGGTGTTACATAATTTTTGGCCCAATCAAACTTATAATACCCCCAACACATAGTGTTGTAGGGTATAATGATTGTCATCTACCAAATTTCGTGGGTAAATGTGACTAGGATTATCAACATACCGAGTACCGGTGGTTATCGTTATATGTGCGCTATAGGAAGACTCGGACCTAAAGTTTCAATTTTCTGCCGCCGAAAAATGTGGCAAAAATAATCAAAATATTCGGAGGTACCATTATGTAGGTGCTATACGAAAAGGTGGACCTATACATACTATGTTTCGCAACAGGGGCTAGAACACATTACGAACTACAAATACCAATTTTTAGACAAAAATCATCAAAATAACGAATATTGAGAGGTACCGTTGTATGGGTGCTATACCATAACGTGCACCTATATATACAATGTTCCGCCACCGGAGGTAGAACCCATTACGAATTACAAATAGCAATTTTTAGACAAAACCGTGGAAAAAATTTAGTGTTGTCTTCCACATAAAAAGTCCAAAATTTCGAAAAAAAATATTTGATATAATCCAATCGTGGCACGTGGGAATCTATATACATAAAAGAGTAGTGAAATAACCTACGACTGAGTATGCCCAGACGAAATGACAGAAACAAGAATCTTGAAATTTTGGGTGAGGTGAGGTGAGAACGGTAAGAAAGCTACTTAAAGGTACCAAATATAATACTCTTTGAATTTGACGAACCAGTAAAGCTAGAACTCTTAAATTTGGAATGTGGGCCATTGATAGGATGTGTGATGGATGTGGCACTTTTTTTGGAAATTCATACGAAAAGTATTAAAATGTGATACATTAAGTACCATTTTGCTAAAAACTTGAAATTTGAAATGGGAATCGAGGTTGAGGAATAAGTTCTATGGGTGGAGGTAGTTTTGAAAGTGTGTACTCATGTATACCAAAAATACCAAGCGGTACTAAATATGATACAATTTGAATTGGGAGAATAAAAATAAAACAAGAATCCCGAAATTTGGGGTGTAAAATTGGGAGGTAGATTGAAGGTAGTTTTTGAAATTCGTACTTACGTGCACAAAAAGTACTAAATGGCACTAAATTTTGTAAAATTTCGTTTTGGGTGAGTCGAGATATCTGTAATACTGAAATTCGGAAATAAGATTATTATTGCATTGTAGGGCTAATGTATGTAGGTAGTTATGGAAATTTGTACTTATGTGTACAAAATTGTACTAAATTTGAAACAATTTGGATTTTGTTGAACCGATAGAGCTGGAATCCTGAAATTTGAAATTAAGATTACTGTTGGAATGTAGGATTGGGGTATGTAGAAAGTTTTGGAAATTCATACTTATGTGCAAGAAATGTACAAAATGGTACTACATTCGGTACAATTCGGATGAACCAATAGAGCTGGAATGCTGAAATTTGGATATAGAATTACTATTGTATTGAAATATGAAATCACGATGAGATAAAAAAACTGCAACAAAGTAAAACGCCATAATTTTTACATTTTATTTAATTTTATTGAGTGAATGCACAAATTGTCGGAAATAGCATAAAATTTTAGAATAAGTTTAGATTTGTTCGAATTGGTCACCTTTGGCACGAGTTATGGCCTTCAAACGGCCAATGAAACCGTCACATGCAGCCCGAATGTTGCTCTGCGG